CACACACACACACACACACACACACACACACACACACACACACACACTCCCACTCACATAGAATTCGTTCGTCCTATTTTCTATCAATTGAACCAAGATCGCTTAATAAACGACGAAAAATGACAAGCAGCACTCTAGGCGAGGGACACTCAAAACAGTCATCGTACATATATTGAGCGGGCACTATCGATGCGTTCATTTGTGTGAGTGCGATTGTGTAAACGACAATGTTCGTGTTCAATATGTGTACGATGACAGCTTCGAGCATTCCACGCGTAGAGGCGTCTTGGCGTCTTACGTCAAATCTTTCCCATGTATTTGTATACGAAGAAAGCGACCTTGATTGAACGGTAATAACGGTTGTCTCTATTTTAATTTGCATGCAGGACAACTGCTATGGAATCGATGGGCTGAAGAATGGGTTGTGCTGTATGATGACTCAACAATGGCCTGGTTCACCGTAAGTATAATTTCATTAAATTTCACTTTCGGCGAAAAAAAAGGTTCATTAATTAATGGACAGAGTGGGGCGACAAAAAAGCTTTTAAGCTGATTTATAAACAAATTATATGAATTTTTTTCGCCATCACAATCATAGGCTGAAGAAATAAAATAAAAAATTGATTGAACATTTTCAATTCGCATTTTCTCCGTCATAATTGATTTAGGAGCCAGGCAGATCGTCGCCGGTCGGCAAGATATTGGTAAAAGAGGCCCCTGAGATGTTGGCAATTGCTCAGTGGACGGGACAAATTCCAAAGCGTCCTCCATTGCCCGATGGATGTAGCATATCGCAACTGATCGCTGTGGGTTCAAGGCGAAAAAGGTCAAAAGTTTATTGGATGCTCGCACGATCCGAAGCAGAAGTCAAGTAAATGTTTGCAAAGGTTTTAATGCTAGAGACTAGTTTTCTATGGTTTCAATTTGTTATGCCAATCCCCCAGTTCCAGTTAAATTAATTTAAATTCATTTCTACCAGAGTTTGAGTTGATGAAAAAATAAATTGTAAATAATATTTGAATGTAGATTTTAAAATGCAACTCTCGGTATGTCTTCGTCAAATTTCTCAGAACGACAAATAGATAAAATGGAAATAAAATTACTCGACACACAATTCTCGTTACAGAGAAAGAAAAAAAAAACCGGGAAACCATTTTTTGCAATGTATGATGAAGTCAATATGTTAAATTTGGTTGGCTGTGGAGTATGGAGCCTTTTCAATGAATTTGCCCAACTCAAAAGCGTTCGTCGCATCAATATACAGTGTACGATATACATGACACATGACTAAATTCATTAAAATCTGAAAACCGAAATAAATGCCACCGCAGATACGTATTTCCGTTTATAACTGGATCATTTTTGTTATTCGGGCAAACTGACAATTTTCTATACCGACATTTTCTGATTTGAATACATTAATTATACATGATATACATAAACCATATAATAGCATTTAAAATTACGTAAATCTCATTTTGTTGTGAAAAAGCGAAGTATTTAACATATTTATTGAAATCCCATTCAAGCATGCAAAACATTTTATGCATGGATGGAGGTGGTGGCGGTGGTGGTTTTTGTTGTTTAGAGAAGGGAAAGGAAAGAAAAAGACAGTCAGACAAGCAGGCAATGAATGAGATCGAATGAGAAAGGAAGAGTCTTTATTTGCTTTGCCCAAAAACCACCCACACCACTAAAAACACAAACAAACACACACACACACACACACACACACCCCGGAATGGTTGAGAAAATGTAAACGTAAGACGGATTAAAAACTGTACATTCGACATTTGTAACAATATTTCAACGATAAAGCGGATAGTTTTTTCAAAACGATTGCATTTCCCTTGCCATTTGTTCCAGTGTGTATGTGTGTGAGTCCTTCTTGTATTTATGTATATGAAAATAGATCGATTATCAGAATAGAAAATACGATGTATAATTTTCCATAAATCTTATGATTTTAAGCGCTTTTTTTCCTCTTCATCCAATATTAATTGGATTGCTTTCAATAAATTTTTTTCTTATTCTTCTTCTCCTTAGCGACTGGATTAATGCGATTTCAAAAACGGTAAGTTTTTATGCAGTATTTATTCTATTAGAATTCATTTCGAAAATTCTCTCAACTCTCGAATATCATGTACTAGTAGTGTTGTATCTCATCATTAAATCACGGCATTTTTCTCCATTCTTTTGCTATGGTAGCTGCCACCAGCGCCACAAATAGAGCTTATTATTGATAAATCCCATATAACTGGCGTGTTACGACGGCCACTAGTCCGGATAAGACGTAAGTTGCCTTTGAAAATCGGCTTCAGATAATAAGAGAAGAAAAAAAACTTCTTTTTTTTTCTGCCAAAGAAGAAAATATTGCCATAAATCGGATTAAAATTTTTGAGCAAAAAAAAAAGAGTAACACACCACAGTCACTGAAAATCCAGCGAAAAATGTGATTCACTTTTCCAGTATGAAAAGCCCACACATGTGTGGCTGAAATCGATTTTCGATGATACACATACACGTATAGAAAAGCTTTTGTGAAATAATACTTACGATCCTTTTTTGCTTTGCTTGACTTGTATTCAATTCTGAACCTTCGATATCATTTACTATAACAGCTGCTACGAATTCCGAAGTCTCGTCTAGACGAAGTAATCGTGATGCTGTGCGTTATGCACAGAATATACGTAGTGATGCGGCCGTTGCTATACTAAGCAAAAGTACACATGATTCCGATACAAGGGCGACATTAGCATGCGTTCTACCTTGGGGACATGGTTTTGGCTGGGCAACACTACCGAATGGCATTTGGAGTGGTGGTAAGTATTTGTTGTTTTTTTGACTATGCATATCGTTCTGGTTTGTTTTAGACCATCGCATGGTTTACAGACTATCAAATGATTTATATAAACAAGTTCAAGTCATTTTTTCTTTCAACTCTGTGTGTGACAATTTGAACAATAATTTCAAAACATAAAACAGTAGAAACGAAAATGATGAAATTGTGTTGAGTTGTTGTGAACAATAAATGTATATATTTCAATGTATATTTGTCTGTGCATAGGGTTGACTTGGACACAATGTGAAGATACGTTCACGTTGCACGCTCTGCCAACAACACACTGTACGAATTTAGTCGAAACATCGCATGCCGGCATCTATCACACTGATATCGGTGCATTTGATTTCCATACAAGCGGCATTGAAGATTTGGGCGGCGAAGATTTCGACTATGCCATGGACTGTGGTGACTTAGCGATATTTTAAACAATGCCATCTGAAGACAGAAAATACACAAACACAATCATTGTCGTCGTCATATGTTCATCGAATAGAATTGATTACGTGTCTGAATAAAAAGAAAATATTCTGATTTTAAATAGCTGAATCGTTGATGCAATTGCGATTGCCGGTGAATCAGTGGAGCTAGTCATTGTTTTTAATGAAGAAATATACTTTAGCGCCAAAAAAATATCTATGTTTTTAATGTTTGCCCAACGCATGAACGATATATTTTGCATAACATAAGCACAAAGGAATGCCGGCGATGAAAGTAAATTTAAAGCGCAGACACTTCGGATTGAATTGCTGGAGTTGGATATGTCGAATGAAAGTGAAAAACCCAACGCTGTGAAGCACAATGTTATTATATTCAACAGATCCTAAACCTTTCAGAGTTCTGTTTGTCCCTATCGGAAGTTCACTAACATGAATCATAAATGACGTTTGAAATGCCATTTTTGACAAATACCATTTCCAATATTTGGGTAAACCTTGTGACAAAATCATTTAATCAAATTTCCAAACTCTACCGTATAGATGCCGCTAGAGCATCATTTGCTGAATATCTTCCATTTATGATTCATGTTGTTGGAAAAACCAAACATACACACAATCCGATCGGCTATCGATCACACCATAGAACATTATTATGAGCATTTTATGTGTATTTTGATACTTTGACATACATTGACATTTAGTACGAACTACGCTCGTATCACACACACACACAACACTTGAATCACGGTCAAAGCGATTACGCTAAGTACTCAAGCCACGAATTAAACATAACAAAAGGACAAACAAACAAACAAAATATAGGAGAAATATTCTTTTTATATTGCCCACTTTACGTAATTTTATTTTTCGAAACAAAAAAATTTGTCATATTCCGCCAATCGTTTGATTTTGAATTGAATATATGGTTTATGCGTTATGTATACGATTTAAAAAGAGAGAAAAAAAACTAACTATGAACAGAAGAAGAATTCAATTGAGCTTTGCTTTAGATCTGTGAACATTTTTAAGAATAAGTTAAACAAATCGATATAATTTAATCAAATCCGTATTAAAATCTAGTCTTTTTTTTCTCTCTCGGATGAATGAAGAACGAAAAAAGTGTTGAAAACAATCATCAGGTGTTTGTCGTTGGTGTTAACTACTGCTTATTTTTGTTTCCGTACAACTTGTTCTCCCTGCCGCCAATCCAGTTCTCACAAGCACACACATTAATCTCGCAAATTGCGTATACATTAAAAGTGCTTCAACAGCGTGAAAAACAAACCCGAAGAAAGACAGAGATAGGGAGAGAGAGAGAGAGAGAGAGAGAGAGAGAGAGAGAGAGAGAGAGGAGAGAGAGAGAGAGAGGAGAATGTATGAAAAACTGGTCTCGATTAACAACGACATGCACCTGCACACTCACCGATAACTTAGCGTATGAGCAGTAAACACGTAAATCAGAAGAAAAAAACCTATTTCTATCAAAATTCAATTACATTTGTTGTTTGACGAAAAGATTAAAAAAAAAATTACTGTAAAAATACCAATTCAACAAATGATACTCAGAGTGTAAGAAAAACACCAATGACAATATAATTACCGCAACGCGAGTACGCAAGTCATTTCAGTAGGGATTTTTTTTTAGTGATAGATACATACATGCAACACACATGGCTCAAGTCGATTTTTTTTTTACTCTCTGGAGGTGAAATAATAGAAAGATAGAATATATATGGCAAACAAACTTGATTTTACGTAGAAAAAAAACACACACTCACATAATTCGCTGCATTTTAGCAAGTATTTGTTGTTTGAGCGCCGAACCGAAAATGACTGGATTAGTAAATAATTTCTGCGGCAAGTCTTTTGAAACTCGCAAAACGATTTTATTTTTTTCATTTTCAACAAATCGCACGTAATACGTATTGCGACTGAGAAAAAAAAATGTCACACTTTTGGTTAATTAATTCGATTTTATACGCCAAAAACTTAATTCTTTCGGAAGAAAAAAAAACACAACACACACACATTGTGTTGGGACCATTCTTCTTCGAAATTATTTATTCCTTAGTTGTTTCCTGATGACGAAACGTAAGAAAAACAAAAATGAGAAGAAGAAAAAAAACACGCAAAACCTTCTCCATGGCGTGCTTTTATTGTTGGGGCTTATTATTCATGTGGATCGACATTCAAGTCGAATGATTCGACGTAGAGCAAAGGGAACAGACATGTTATCCAACAGTTATACACATATATTATTAAAAATTGATACATTTGACTGAGTGAAAGGCACAGATAGAGAGACTCCCAATTCGGTTGGAAGAGAGAAAGAAAAATAGAGATGAAAATAAGGAAAGATTGAAGGAGAGTGTTCTGTTAAAAGGGCCACCATAAGCCACACACTGTTCACAAATTGCTACTAATATGCTAACAATCACGAGCGTGAAACACTTCATGCTTCCGAAACATTTCACCACCACAATTCCTGTGCAAGGGGTTTGATAATGTGTCTTGAACTGGGGAAAAAAGCACATCAACGCACACCAGCGAATCAAGATACTTCCTATTCTGTAAAATCTGTGAATTCATTCTTGTTTTGTTTCGCCAAAAAAACGTCAGTTACGTTCTTCGCATCGGTTGTTTTCAATGCGATTCGGGCCGGGTTTTTGTTTTTCCCGGTCAATTTGCAATGTGCGAACGAAAAATGTGCCAAATCATCAGCATTTGGCAGCCCCCGTAAAATGTACGATTCGTTCCATTCAATTATTCATTCGTCTGTTTATAGCTCGCAGCAGCTCGAACGAGAGCAAAAATTGATGCGTATGTAGAATGTGACCTGAACTCTCGGCGCCTACGAAGCAAAAGAAAGAAAAATTAGCACGCATAATAATCAATATAAATTGAATTAGTTTTTTTTCTCATCATCTCTTTTGTCTCGTTCAGAGATTTTATTTTTTCTTCTCGGATTTGCGTATAGAATGCAATCTCAATGATTTCATTCTGTTTCTTTTCTGTTGATGCTGTTCCGAGCATGTTGAGTGGAAATATTGCCAAATTTGCTGGAAATATGAAAATTCCTGAAGTCGCAACCGAATAGACACTGAAAATCACCTGTAATAATAATGAATCTAGTGTCGACATGAAAAAGCTTTTGCACACATTAACATTTATGCCGTGCGAATTTTAGGTGAGCGAAAACGATTGTGCGAATGAGAACCAAAGGATTGACGCGATACCCGAATTTAAATGTTGATTCATTGCCGAAAAAAGTGAAAGCAATAATTTATTTAAATCCGACATTCAATTCATTGATTGCAGGTCATTAATTGAATTGGTGAGGGGGAATTTTTCGCATTTTCATTTGAACACATTTGAATCAAACAACCCCGAAAATAAAATTGAATGTTGTGAATATCCCTATAACAATATTACTTCGGCTCGCATCTTTGAGCCAGCCAAATACCGTGTACTTGCAGCCGGAATATTTAGACGTTGGGCCTAGCGAATATATTACATTTAACTAGTGTGATGTGATCAAGCTGTGGTCAATGTGTGTGCGAAATGGATGTTTTTGTGCAAATATTGATTCTCTACAATCTACATGTACACGAGATTGCTAAAACTATCCATACGAATTTGTCAAACGGAATAGCTTTTGAAAAGCGATTTTCGAAGCTAAATTGGAATCAAAAATACAGAATTGCCTATTATTTTCATTTTCGCATACGGAATGCTAGAATCCATTTGCTTGGATTCATACAAACGAGTGGCGGTCATAACGCCCCGGATGGACAGCATGCTTTTGTGTTTCTATTACATTAGAGTATGCTGTCCGTCCGAGGCGTTATGGCCGCCACTCATACAAACACACAAACATTTTTTCATAAAATATTAAAAGCGGTTGCGGATCTTAACGACGACGACAACAACAATTAAATGTTGTGCTATGTTGTGATCCGTGCTAGCCTAAGCAAACACAACCCCAAAATCGTACAAAGCCAAACATGATATGGAATGTCCATGGGCTGAATGGTCAAACTGCATTAAACTTTAATATCCGTTTTGAGTTTTACACTTATTTTTGTCCTAAGTCTACATGAATGGGTCGCAATTTAATTGTAACCTAATCCAAACAGCAACAGCATCCGCTTATAGCACCTAGTCGGTACACGCGCGTGTGTGTATTCCGATTGTTTTTCCTCCTTCTGGTATGTTTTTATGTTAGCTATTCAAATCACCGCCAAAGACAATCGATTAAATATTGTCCATTTTCTTTTGAAGTGTTTTTCTTCTCGATTCATTTGCCGTCAAGAGGAATTCCGTTAGATGTGAGGGTGCGTGTCAAATGGCGCTCCATTCATCCTAAACCTTTATTGTCTGTTTTGTAACGAATGTCGAACTGTATACGAGAAAAGCATACAATTTAGCCTAACATCCAAAAAGGACGAACATTATATGAGATTCAGCGCTAAAATTCCTTAAATATTCACGAAAGTAGTCGTTGTAACCAAGGCAAAAATCAAAGAACAATCTGTTCGCATTAAATCATTTGGATTCAATAATCTGATCCCAATTTCTGATGATAGATGAAACCAACACCATTTGATACGGCTCCCCTCCCCCATTCCCCAATATTGAATGTGTACAAATAGTTTTAACAAATTAGTCGTGTGTTAATGATGAAACAATGATTAAACAAGAAAAAGAAATATGCGATACCTGTCTATGCACTCTGAATAGAAAATCAGCGTAAAAAGAAAAAGAAAAGTAAAATGGATTCGTTCAATACAATACCATATAATAAATAGAGACAAAAGTAAGTATTTGATGTAGGGTTCAAAACTGCGTTATTGATGACAAAAATTAGTTCACGTTGAAAATCGTATTGAGTGTTTAAATAAATTAATAATAATAAAAACCAGAGTCCCCATAACTTTTTATAATAGAAATCGTTTATTGGTCGTTGCGTTATTTCTAGAATCCATTTGACAGTGAGTGTTGTAGACATCGTAAATCGAAAACTGAAATGATTAGGTGAAAACATACGACAAACAAATAAAATTTATGAATATGTTTACGTGACAAAGAAATAAAAACAAAAGATGTTATTCAAACTAATTGTTAGTGTAAAACATGTAACGGTAGCACAACGTCGTGTGAACTAAATGAAATACCCCCCCCCCCCCCCCACACACACACATACATACACACAAAACAAATCATATTTTTATGTATAATCTACACTCTAGACGTAAATGTGTTTTAGTATAAAAAAAAACTGAAGTTCAAAAATAATCTTAAATATTTGTTGAAAATCCATGAGGAATTTGGTAGATGTGATTATGATGAAGAAACTGAAGCCAAAGAAATGACAAAGTATAACAAACCAAAAATGAAGAAAAAGAGAAAAAAAAGACCCTCACATAGTTTTAACAAAGTATTTTATTGAAAAATCGCTGGCCGATTTTATTTCCACTGAACACGGTCAAACGGTATACTTTATGGATGTCGACGCTCCAGAGAGAATAAATATATTTTTTGCTCAAATCAGAAATTATATTAACTAAAACCAAACTACCCATCCATGTGAAGAAAAATACACGATCCCCTAATGCGAATTTACGTACCATGTTTGAGTACATGGTATTTTTTGAACCAGATAAAGCATTAACTGACTATAAATTTGATGTCTATGTAAGTTTTGATTATAGAATAAAAATTGAACCAAAAAAAAAATTTGAATTGAAAAAAAGGCAAACAAGTTGAAAATGCTTAGCATAATTTGCGAGAGAAAAAAATCGATAGAAGAAAAAAAAACATTTGCTTTAGACATGTATTTAGAAAACAAAACCAAATATAAACCACGATGTTTAAAACCATTTATGACCTTAATTCCCTCAAACGAATAAAAATGCGTAATACGCACAGAGATAAAAGAAGAAAAATTCGACATTCATGTATTTTATGTAGAGTTTTGAAATTTTAGATGATTGAATATGTGTCCGATATATGATATATATATGTGCGCTTCGGAAGCGCATCAAAACATTCACAACACACACACACACACACAAACAAACTCAAATGTCCATAACTGCATGACAATGTGAAAACCATTAGGCATTTATAATTGTTTAGTGTTCGTACGAGAAATGAATATAAAAAATTGATATTTTTATAAGCTGCTTTTAAACATGAACAAATATGAAATGAAAACTATCTCAAAATATGCATTTGTAACAAAGTTTTAAGTTTTTTTTTCTATGCCAAAAATACAAGTGATGAACGAATGAAATCGGATAGAAGCGTTTTGCCATGTGGAATAAAGAGAGGAGCAGGAGTAGCTACTATCTGTGAGCCAAACGTCGAGAGCATGAGAGAGAGAGAGAGAGAGAAATATGATGATGAGCAATTTCATTATTCCAGTTTTGCTTTATTTCGCGTGAATAAACGGATGCATTTTCGTTTGGAAAGTGTGTCAATGTGGTAAAATTGGCGAAATTCATATTTTTGATGGTGAAAAATGCTTTATTATGTCAGTGTGATTATACATAAATATGTATGAAATGGCAATGTATGTGAATAGATTGCACAGATTGGCAAACAACAACAGCCGAACAAGGGAAAAAAATCCAAATTGAATGGAGTAATCGAGATTAGGCATAATGCATCATTCGAGTATCTGGAGCATTGAACACAGTGCCAAGCCAGTAGCCGACTATTCGGAAATTCACGTAAGACTCAAAAAAAAAAACTGGGTGAAATAGAAATCTAGCACAAAAGTACTAATAAAACCATTAATATTCGTCGTGTGAAAAAGTTTAGAAATGAATTTAAGCCAACAAAGCAGATAAACAAAAACAACAACAAAAACAACAACAGCAACCAATGATTGAATATGATCTTAGACGCTACGTTCCATATGTCCCACCAACCAATAATTATGTTTGTTATACCGTGTTTAAGATATTTAAAAGAAAATAATAATTATTAAAAAGAAAAACAACAATAATAAATTTGTAAACGAAAATGTTCATCTCGAGAGCACGACGTTACTCACAAAATATATAGCATATAGCAGATGCTGAATTTAAGCACTACAAAAGGCGCAATCATGTTTTTGATGTTAAAATTTAGAAGCAAGTCTATTATAAACATTTACAATACCAAAAAATGAGGTCAAATGAAAGTGTTATCATTTTCCCAAACATATTATCAACGTTCTCCCCCCCCCCCCCCTACAAACCAGTTTCAATGTTCTTCGACCACATACACACACACACACACTTGACTTATCCAAAACAAAAAAACCTACCCCTTTATTTGCATTGAAAATGCCTTCCCTTCAAACAAAAAGTGTCTTCCCTTTTTCCATAAAAAGAACAAAATGCAAGGAGCGGATTTCCGCCTCCGAGTGTCAAGTAGAAACAGATCGCACAAATTTCATTGGGAAATGTTGCTTCTCTTCTTTTTCGACGGCAACAACTTTTACCCGGCTCATCCTATTAAAATAGAATCTAAACAACACTTTATGTAACCTTCTTTTCGTTAAGATGTGTACCCTGATTTAGGCCAAACATATTATTATAACTACCCGAGAAAAAAGAAACTATTCAACATTCTCCAAAAACCGTCAAACTAAGCTACAAAGCGTCATTAGTCTTTATTATCCTTTTTGATCGTACATAAAAATGCGGAAAATCGTTTGCCATTCTGCGTCGTCTGCACATTCATAATTGACTTGTGAACGAATTGAGCAAATGACAAGTCAAACTATAAATTGGCCCACTATAAATACCATACCATCTCAAAACTATTTCCAGCTCAGAAAACGGTCATGGCGAGTTACAAACTGCTCAATGCTTACTCCGCACAAAGAGAAAAAAAAACACAAGAGAGAAGAAAGCAGCAAATATAATCCAAAGAAAAAAGTCGATTGCGACTGTGCAGATCCATAGATAACGATTCGAATTCTTTTTATACGACATAACAAACAATAAGGATCATAAATGTACGTTAACATGAATCAAAACCAAGAAACTTTATTCACTGGAAATCGCTTTTTGACGGTTTTTTTTGAGAATTTGGAGATTGAGTGAATAGATCCGTGTAAATGTTTCAAATAAATAACGAACAAGAGAAATGACGAAGAAAAATTTTGAAGAAGAAGAAAAAAAACACCCGAAATCAATTTGAAATAGTTTTTAATACCGTGTGTTGTCAATGCAATCAGCGAAAAATTTGGAACAATTGCACCTCCATTCCAGCATTAGATGCAAACACTATTTCATATGTAATTGTATACAACAATAAAAAAAAACTATGTATTAAATGTGTTTCCAGTTCCAGAAGTAGGCGAATCGAATCCAAATTTTATTCATTCGGCTGAAAACACTTACGTTTGACATTATTTAAAGAGATAAAAAACAACAACAATCCAACCAAAACATAAAACTGTGTGAAAATTATTGAAATGTTTTAGTATATATGTTAGTCCAAAACTATTCAAACAAATCAACCGCTACAATCATCCAATGAATAAACCAACCCAAAATGTGTTCAAATCTATAGCACCGAGAGTATAAAACAGGAAGAATAAAAAAGAGAAGAAGAGGAAACAAATCAGTCATAAACTTCATTATGAAATTGATAAACTTTTAACCAGAATGAAAAAGAATCCAACCGAAGATGAAGAAGAAGAAGAAGAAGAAGAAGAAGAAGAAGAAGAAGTGAACAGACAAAAAAGACAAAATTGTAATTAAAAACTTTACCGAAAAATCATTTAGTGGGACTGCGCAAAGAAAATAACAAAACTGCAATAAATAAACTATCCAAATTCAAACTGACTTGTGTTTTGTTTGTTGTTTTGGTCTGAAATATTTTGCATGCTGCTACATTGCAGCCCTGCCCGGTACATTGTTTTTTTCTTCTCATTGAAATCGAAAATGAAACAAATGGAAAGAAAATTGCTTCGAAATTAATTTTCTATTTTTACAGCTAAACGTTTTTTTTTGTTCTGCTTCTTTCGCTCTGGATCTTAAGTGGATGTTGTATGCTGATTCAACGCTGATGAAGAATGCATAATTCTTTCGAAAGGCCACTTGACGTAAGTATCACACGCTCACTCACAAAATATAATTATCAACGCGAATAAAAAAGCGAATGCCAGTTTTCTAAACATAAATCCCGTTTTCCGTTTGAGTGATTTTCTCTGTTGCTCTTTCACTCGCTGATCCAACCGACTGTCCGCCAGCTCTCACACACCGATTAATGGACTTATTGGGCGGAGAAGCTGTTACCATTTTTGGAAAACTTAACCTCGATTGCGTATAAGTGTTTTTCTCTACGGCAATAAGCCATGGCTATTTTTCCTTCGTCCCGAGAGCGGTTGCATCAGTATCGGATAATTGTTCAAATGAATTGGATTTCAATTGATTTTTCGAAAACATCCGTTTGTTGCGTTGATTTTATCGGCGTGTTGTTTTTTTTTCGCTGATGTTTCTTCATCGTCGTCGTCGTCGTCGTCGTCGTCGTTGTCGTCGTCTTGTGCTTCTTTTCATGCTTTTATTGGTTCATTCGAATCGGATTTTCGCATATGAGTGAGTCTGATTGCACGAATGAGCAAGAATAGAAAGGAAAAATCTCGAACCCAATCAATATTTTCTTAACAAAATGCGCCGACACCGAAAAACTTTTCTCATATTCGAAAATGTCGGATTAGCTTCAGCCGTTATGCCAGAATCGATTGGATTGCATCACTTTGGCCGACGCTGACAACACGATTTATTTATTTTTTTGTTCGAAATTTATTTTCAGGCTTTTGATTCAGAATGAAATTGCTCCATTTGTTTTTTTTTTCGCTTCGCTTGTTTGTGTGCAAGTGTCGCTGAGAAAGTGTATGTCGATTTGTGTTGGAGTGTGTGCGAGAGAGAGAGGTTGGAAGCATGGAGCCTGCACAAGGCCCAGTATATTATTACAAACAACTGTCGTCATCAGAATATATTATTGCATGACTTTCTCAATGAAAAATCAATCGAAATCGATGAGCGCGACAAATGAATCGAGAATAAGTGAAAGTGACGTGACAGCAAACGAATTTATTCAAAAGAGATTGAGACAAACACTGGTGAAGAACTGGAAGAAGAAACAACAACGAAAAATTACGACTGATTGTTTTATGTTTTTAAATTGCTCACGCGTCACTGATCGAGAACCATTGAGTTTCCGCAGTTTGGTATTGATGTTTAAATGATTTATGCTTTTTTTTCTGTATACATACACATGTGTATGTGTGCTGTTCTGTGTCAATCTTGATGTGCTCCAAACGCGATGCTAAATTCTTTATACTATTTCGAATATTCAGCTTTATTTTGTGTTTATTGCTTTCTGTGTGTCTAGTCTGTATTCAGTCGATTGACAACATCAATGCTAATGCTTCCAAACATCAATGTGATATTGCATTTGAGGCAACGCTAAAAAACGAGCTTTGTTACGGAGTTGTTGTAATTGTCAAATATATATTGTGTGTTTTCCTTCTCTCGTCTGTATTCGCATTAAAGGCATTTGATATTTTATGTAAATATAAATTACGAATTGGATAATGGTTTGTGTTTGCCGGTGAATCATCAACAGATTTTTATTGCCACCGAACGGCAAAAGCACAACCGAATAAAAATTCATTGAAGCGTATACCGTTCGGAAATCATGTTATCGACCATATGATTATGTTTATGAAAAGTGTTTTGTGGGTTTCACTTCAATTACTCGCTCCTTACATCGATCGACGGAACAGCGATTATAGTAAATGGATCGATTGCTTTGAGAACCCGTACGTTGGCATTTCATGAGCAAAATATACACAAACAGAGGAAAAGAAAAAAAAGCAACAAAAACGCAGGGACACAGCGCCAACTAATACACGCGTAAATCTTTAATTACACACGAAAATGATTCATTCATTCATTTGTGTATGAAGAAAGAGTAGGAGCGGGAAGAGAAAAAGCATGCTAAATTGACAGCACACACACTTTGTTTCTCACTCGCTTCACAATTTAACGGGCCCAAAAAGAGCAGCCGATATTACTGCTCATTCACCGTACTCTCCATACGTATGCTTGTGTGGATGTTTTTCTTTAGCTGTGTATTTTGCTCTCTGTTCGTGATTTTGTGCTATGGCTTTTGAGCGTGTATTATGCCAGCCGAGCCAGCGTTGGGTGCCGTCGCCACCGCCGCCGTTGCTTAGCTCTTGGTGTTTTGATGTTCGCTCTCTTTTGTTGGCGTTGATGTCGTTGTTGTTGCTGTTGGCTGCTGCTACTGCTGTTGTTGTTGGCTGCTATTATTTTGATTCCGTTTTTGCATACAGTCTCGTTGTGCTCGTTTACATTCGCATTTACTTCTGCGTTAAGCGTTGAATTGTCGTGTACTTTTCACATTCTTACGATTTTCTTCTCGTTTTGGTATCGCTATTCTTATAAAAATTTGATTGGAACCGTGCTTTTGTGTGTTAAGTAAGTGAGTCAGGCGCGCGCGTTTGGCCGCATGTGTTTGTGTTGATCGACAAAATAAAGCAACTTTTATTCGTTTCATATAAAACATACAAATAACTTACACTCACTTACTGTGCGCCTCAGTATACCGGCGTTTGTTCGCTTCATCGGGTATTTGTGCAGATTGTGGCTTTAGTTAGTCTCTTTGCTCTTGAACCGTGGGAATCGATAGTAATTCACCGCACCGATTTCCAATCGACGAAAAACCAAACGATTTAAATTAAAACTATTTCGTGTCAGAAGGTGTTTTTTTTTTGTTTCTCTTCTCTTTCGTCTTTTGCAATTCGACAAAATTGTTCGTTTGGTTTATTTTTTTTTGTCTTCTTTCAATTACGTTGGCTACTCGGTGAAACCGTAAATGTAACATATTGCAACCAATGTTGATTTAAATTGAATTGTTTGCTTAAATTGTACCAATATTCGTGGTTGAAATCCATCGATTACTCGAATTTTTGAGTAAAAACACATAGAATGCATTGTGAATAACTTCGTTTATCGAAAAGAATACCAAATGTTCGCACAAAATTTATGTTTTAGTTGTTTTTTGTTGAGTTTTTGAGTGGAATTTTCACTCGATTTCTTCACAACATTCTCTCGCAAACTGCCAAATAAATAACATAGCAAACAAGTGAAGGCGAAATAAAAACGCAGCAACAACCAAAGAGAGATGAATATCTGAGTAGCTAGGAAAAGAAAAACCCAACACAAAACGAAACTGTTGAAAACTTAGAGGAAACAAAAAGCAAGAAAAAAAGAAGTGACGAAAAACGGCGAACACACAAGAAAACAATAAAACAAACTGAGCTAATAATAATCAAGTTGACTTGAGAAAATCTGCAAAATACGACGAGACAAAATCAGAAAAAAGAAACAAAAAAAACAACAACCAAAGAAAAAGAGATTACACATCTGATAAAAAGTGACAAGAGCAAAAAGAAGAAGCAAACACACGAGAACAAAACAACAACAAAAAATCACTCAAGATTTGTGTGTCGGAAGGCAGAGGAAAAAAGTGTATGTGCATTAAGAAAAACACGTCATCGTGTTGCAGTCACCAAACGAGAAGAAAAAACACACTATTCAAACTAAAAATGGAGTCACAAGGAAATGTATCAAGGCTAGCGAAATTGCAGGTGGGTTCAATATACAAAAAATCCTACGTTTTTATCTCAGCTCCACTTTTTTTTTCTGCTCGTTGTTTCTGTTGCTTTGCTCTGAATCGGCTCGCATTGCTCACCTGAGTGTTGAATAACAAAGTGCAATCCACGATTCTGGGTTGAAGCCGCATTTTTATTCATGCCAACACAATGTTGTCTCTCTCTCTCTCTCTCTGTTTTCATTTTGTACTATATACTCTGGTCGCATACTGTATCTTGTCATCGGTTTAAACTCGATTTTCGAACGCGTGCTCAAGTTCATCGCAACATTTCTGGCATCTGCATATAGCCATGCAAACGTAGCAAAACTTTCCAAAAAAAAAACGACAATGACGACGATGACGGCGGAGAAGAAGAAGAAGAAGAAAAAAAATTAATGGGAGTTCCAAAAAAGAGCAAAGCGCCTCGATGAATATTGCTGTGTGTGAATCACCCATTCCATAATCGTTGAATTATTGAAGTAAACACAAATGTGTCACCATTACGGCTTGTTCGCGCTAGCTCGCTTGCTCTCCTTACTGGGCAAAGAAAAATCGTTATCATAAATTAAAGCTTACAAGACATTGTGGCTTCAATATTAAAGAATATTCGTTATATTATCGTTGCTATCCGCGTACAACGATTTTTTTTTTCATTATAAATTACTTTTCGAAAAGTATACTTTTACGTATCGACAATATCATAATTGTGATATTCTTAGACTTTTTCCAACAATGTTGTGGATGGCGAATAAAATAGAAAAACGAAGAGGAAAAATCATAGATTATATCATGGTGGTGATTAGCAAATCACACAAATTTAGCCATTTTATTGGTAAACTATGCCGAAAGCATTTGACGACAATCCAATCAAGAATATAATTTGGAAACGGTCGAATGATTATGGTGTTAAATTGTCATTCGAATCAACAATAATAACGACCCACAACATGTGTTCATGCCACTCACCTTCAACGCATCGCATGACTCTCTTCATCGTATAAAAAAAACTCATATGTCGTCGGTGGTTGGGATGAGACTTTCGTGTTCGTTTTCGTTACGTCACGAAACCGCCAAAAACCGTGTCTTACCACAAAAGAAAATTGATTTGACCATGAAAACCAAAGCAACAGCAGCAGCATCGAATTGCCTCAGAACACAATTGAATCATTTCAGTGCCACGTATTCGTTATGTTTCCGAAATTCCGGCTAATTACCTATTAATTATCGTTCAAATCAATTTTTTGGTCGACTACTTTGATTGCGATAATTTTTTTTTTTCTCGTTTGCTTCCTCTTCTTCTTGTGTATTCAATTTGTGTGTTACAAGAATTGCATGTAGCATGTCGCATCTATCAAACCATCCCACACACGAACATGAACATACACACACACACACACACGCAGCATTTTCAACTCACAATTGGTCATGCAGAAAGCGCGCGTTCACTGTGATTAATCCACAAAATCTGAAAGCGAATATATTAACTAGCGCCGCACCATACGACCAATATTTCCACTATATATAGTGTAACGCAATATGTCCAATTGCATTCATATAGAAATCGAATGCAATTGACTCATTCATACTAATTTATTCGTTTTTTTTTCTTCTGTTGTTGTCGTTATTGTCACACTGTTTTGAACGGTTTTTGGTTTTCCTACTGCTTCGTTTCAAAACGGCCGATTGCGAGAGTGCGTTGGCACTATTTACATTTGATAAATGATTATTTTAAACTCGATAGAATATCATAAATTTTTTTTTTTGCGATCAATAAATGCGAACGTCATAAAAGAACTTTGAGCTGATTCATTAAGCAACGCACTTCTTGGTTGTAAACAAATGCGAAGAACGAGAGAAAGAGTGAGAGAGTGAGAGAATGGAGAAAAAAAACCGTTGAATTACATGGAAATTAAAACCCGCTAACAGATTAGCTCATTGACAATGAACATACAAAAATGGACATTTTGAATAACGCGCGCACACACATAACACTGATAAAATCGTAGGCGTTTCGCCACAGCAAACACCAATCTGAAAGTCCAAATGTTGCGGAGCGAACAAACAAACAGAGAAGAAGAGAAAAAAGAAACACATCATCGACAAACAAGTGAGCGACAAACGAGTGAGATGCGAATTGTACAACAAGCACAAAAACCGCAAAATAACATTTTAATAAAAAACAACCAAACCGAAATAATATGTGGTACGGTTTTTATTTGTCAACCATAAATGGTCACATTATACTCCGTTTTTAATTTGGCGTGTGCATTTCTTTCTCTCTCTCTCTCGCCCTGTTAGTTTATATATAAAGTCAAACAAAGAATTGATGCTCCTTATGGCGATATACATGCTAAGTGTAACAGTATTTATCGATTTGAATTGAAATAGGAAAAAAAACGTGGGGAAACTGATTAAATTTCGGCCAAAATCTACAGCCGTTGCGATAATTGAAGCGCTACAAATGCGTAAAAGTCCGGTGATTTTATCGCAATATCAATGATCATTAATAATGTGTTCGCAAATGCGAATACTTTTCAAACTTTAGTAACACATCGAATATGTCACACAGTTATTTATGGATTTTTGTTCTCATCAGACAAATATAATCCATATATTACGCTCCCGAAATGCGAGTACACATTTATTTAGCTCGCCGTTGTTTTCTCTCTTTAATAGGTTTTATTAACGATTGCTTCAAAATGAATTATAATTAATGTATTTAATGCATCCTAATTCCAAATATGACTTTATTTCGTGTGTTTGAGAAGAAAAAAAAGAATGGGAGATGGAGAGAAAGAGGATGGAGATGTGTGTGTGTGTGTGTGGGCACTTATGAATATCGCATATAAATGTGTCGCCATACGAACGATATATTCGTCTCTCAAAAAATCAATGACTTCATTCGTCGCTCGTCTTCTTTGCATTTGTTTGCTATAGCCATTGTTTACAAGGAATCAACGTGCTGGAGATTAAACGATTTATCGCCTCGCGAAAAACTTCGTTTAACATACGAGAAAGAAAATATATTTAGTGGGTGCTACACGTTGGATGGATATTATGTGTGTGTGTGTTCTGAGGGAGCAATATGTGAATGAGGCATGGCCATAAGAACAAGAACACGGATACTACGAATATATGTCTGTATTTTAAGTCACTCACCACCTCTCTTCTCTATATTTTGCACACTCCGTGTGCTCTCAGCACTGTCTTCCCCCTTGCTATCACCAAATCAAGCTTAAAGCGAGCAACAATGGGCGATGGTAGCGGCGTTATTCACATATCACGTGATGCTGCTGATTAACAGTTATTACATATGTTAATGACGGATTTAGATAAGTTCAAGAGCCAAAGCGAAGAACAACGAAGAATACATATAACGTGCGCCTTGGACCACACACACACACAAACGGGGTCGGGGCACACAAAAACAAACATATGCACACGCACTCACTCTTGTGTATGTTACGAAAGTTGACGTGCTCTCGCATACAGAACACACACACTCCACACATCGAGACATTTGGAGTGCGAAGGCTTTTCATTTGTTTGTGATTAGCTGTTGAACGACGAGGAGAAAAATATAGGCGTTCATAAGAACTTTTCGATGCGTTTCAACAAACAATGAAAACAAAGCAAAAGCCAACGAATGTTAATAGTAATGTGGGATGGGAATATTACTGATTTACTGGATGGGGAATTTGGTTATTGTTGAATCAAGTTCGTCGTCATTCAAGTGAATAGAATTCAAGTGATTCCCCGAATTTATCCAAAAGTGAACAGAGAAGAGGAAGAAGAAGAAGAAAAAGGAGAAAACACGAAGGAAATTCAACTTGTATGATCGATTGTTTACAAAGTATTTTACACAAACACTCAACAATTCACTGCCGAGCCGAGAATTTGTTTCGGATGCTTTGTAAATTCGAATTTTTGGAGAAAAAGCTCGGCTTTTAAAAATAAATTCGTGTCTGATAAAAAGTCATATCATACACACAAAGGGATATTGCAACTTTTTTGACCAGAAAAAACGCCATCTTACGTCGTGCCCGTAAATTATTTCACTGTACATTTAGATGGTAGAGCTTGAACAAAAGTTCGACACTATGCATAAACTTGGAAAGAGCTTGATAAACTTGATGAAATACATATATTTTATGGTCGTTGCAATACCCCTATGCATACACACACACCCATCCAATGAACTGACTCAGTACGGTTCGACAAAGAGTCACACTTTCATTCAACATCGATCAACCATCGTCGTATAAATATCATAACACATAATGTCGGAGAGGGTGGAGCAGGAAAAATTCTTGAAACTTTTCTTCAATTTTCCAGGCCGACGTGTCGTGCAGACAGCACATCATACGATGCGAAAAGTTCTACACCATAATACATGAACAAGAACTAAATACACTAGTCGGTGCCAACGATGAATAAAGTACACTTCACGAATCTCTCATTCAAGAATTGAATGAACATGAGCTGTCCCATTATCTATATACACTCTCACTCGCTCTCCATCTCTCTCTCCCTCTCTTTCTCTCTCTCTCTATCACTTACAAGATGATTCTCTTCTCACACTTGCTCAGCTGTTTGAAAAGATCATTAATCATTTGAAAGTTCACTCGAATGAGTGTCATTGGTAATCAGGATTTGATGGTAGCAAAAACTTTTCTTACTGATTAATTGCCTGTTGAGATAGAGTGGTAGCGAGCGAGCGAACGGGAGAGCAATAGAGAGTAAGATCGAGTGACAGAATCGGCACAATAATTCGATATTCGACAGATTTTCGGATGCGTGAGCGCTCGATGTCGCGAGCAAGCGCTTCGAGAGCATCAAGGTCAAAAGCCAGTTAAAAAGTTTTAAATTCATGTCAATAGTATGGCCTGCTTTAATGAATTAATTGTTTTTCAATGAATTTTTAATCGGCACAAGCACTTGTTCCATCGATTTAATCAATGCGTAAATCGAAATTAAATCACCTTCTGAAAAAGG